CTTCTGCTGGAGTCCCTTTTCATAAGTCTCACCTACTTCATGTTACAGAGCTCCTTTCTTTTCTAGGAATTGGTGGTCCTAGAAAAAATGAGACTTATGGTGGTTATTAGCTCCCCCTCTGTAGGCAGGGAAGGCTCCTTGCTCATTGGGAGCATTGGAATGTTGAAAGTTTTTGCTTTGATAAGCCATTATTATGGATTGCCTGACAATTCTGTCAGATAAAACAATAGGAGGATACTAAAAGATGCAGACCATAAGAATAAAAGATCAAGGGACTTGGAAATACCACCAACACTAGTATATCTGCTCAAAACCCATAATGCCTAGCTCTATTTGCAGGTGCTTGGAAGTTAAAAACAAGAGCTCTGTTGCCAGCAGGGGAGTACCGATGTGCTGTATAAATATGATGACTAATGATCTGAGAAGCAGACTTACAAGGCAAGGTGTTGCCTATGTTTGGGACTGAGATGATTTTATTAAAATTACCACGTACATTGAAGATCCTCTGTCATTTGGTTTGGAATAGTCACAGCTGATGTGGGTAAAACATCAGGTGCGTGAAATAACCTGAGCAGAAAGAGCAACTACTGTTTTGTTAACTGGATACTTGGATAATGAGTGATATGACATGTTACTTTTCAGAACATACTTTTTTTTGTTTTATACTAAGTTGTAGTGCTTATGAAGGCTAATTGTTTTTACTTCTAATGTGTTCATGTATTTTTGTAAAGTTAAAGATAGTGATAGAATCTTTAATGATGAGAGGTAATAGTATTGAAAGTATATCGAAACTGTAATATAAGGCATTGCAAGCCTGTTATGGAGTTACACCTAATAGATAATTCGCTAATGAATATGCAAACTAGTTTGGCATTTTAAGGTGTTTGAAAATGGTACATCTCCTTTCAAATGACATTTCAGTGCCCGTCATTCATGTTGCTTTTATTTTGAGGCTGAGAATGGAAAATTGTTTTCGTGCTTTGCTGAAGTTTTGTGGATTTCTAGCAAGGGTGTAAATTTGTTTCATTTCTTTTGTAAAAATACAATTTTTCTTCAATACCCAAAACTATTTAGAAGAACAAAACCAAACAAATTAACTAGAAGATTGATTCACCTCTACAAATGTACTTTTTTTTGACAATGCTGATGACCTTCATTACTTCAGTTTTGTAGAGATCGTACAAAACCAGTTAATTGACAAGTTACTCTGCAGATGTGTCATCTGAGCACTATGATTCCTATATCACAAAAATAACAGAGATAGGCAAAGGCTGTGAAACTTTAACATGGATTGAGGAGAAAACAGCCAGCAGAGATGATGACAGGGTAGTAGTTGAGTAACAGACAAGCTAGATGGTTCTGTTGCACTTCAAAACGAAATAGCATCAGGGTCTGTGAGGAAAATACATTAAAGTGGAAGAAGAACCAGCACTAGAGACACGGTCTGATGCAAGACAGAAATGAAATGAAAGGGACTTGTACTGGAGCTGAACAATAGAGGAGATAACATTTACTGATGGCTGAAAAGAATTGAAGGAGAAATGCAGTAAAAAGAGTGTTACCTTAGAGGTGATACACAGGTTTTGGGTGACAAAATCTGTAAATATTAGTATAGGGACAGCATAGTGGTATTCTCTGAGAAGAGGGTTACGAATATTTGAGCCAAGGCAAGGAACTTAAGCAATTTTTATAGATAATGCATTTCATAAATTTAAATAAGGAGAAATAATCCATTGCATCAAGATGAAGCTGCAGATCATGTCTTTTTACCTAAATACCAGAAGTACTTTTTTCCTTTTTCAGAGAATTGCATTCTTTAGAAATAGTGCTCAGTGCACACAGACAGTACTGTATAGCTTCTTGCTTCTTTGTTTCTCCAAAAGTCATCCAAGAGGTTTGCTTTTCATGGAGGAAGTGTTTTGTGTATATAGATTAAGCATTTGAACTTCAGCTATTGCAGAGGAACCTGGAGATGTGGGGAGGACTTGGCCTACTGTGTTGTGAAAACTGTCAAGTCTGAGGTGATTGCAGTGTGGGATGAGTGGGCCAAGGAGTGGAAAGCTGTAAAAAATTAAAATCTGGCACCATTATTGCTTTTGGTTATTTGTCTTTCTAATGCCTGGCCCCTCTTCCTTCCTTTCCAGTAGGAAGCTGTCCTTATCACTTGGATCAATCTTCCCTTTGTAGGGAATTTTGCTCCCTCTGGTCCCAGCAATATAATGTGTTCAGTGTCTTTCTGGTGAGCTTCGCTATTTATCATCTGTTGCAGAGATGCTGGGAATGGAGGGCTGGAAGCCTGTGCCCCTCCCTTCCTAGGGCTGCCTCCTGGAAGGTGGTGACATGAACCAGCACACTGGGACTAAATGTCTAGGAAAGCCTGAGGAATATTCAGCCTATCTCTGCTACGGCCAGTGTTTATACACAAAGTTTCTTGAAGCTGCCACTCCACTCTTACTTAAGCATACATTTGTTGTCATCAAAATACATCCCCAGGCCATGCCCCTAAGCAAACACAGACACAGATGACTTTGATACTGCTCTTGAGATGGGTGATGGGAGGGCCTGTTTCTGTTTAAAATATTTCAGTTGTTTTCATACCAGTTCTTTCTGTGGAAACAAACTATTTATGCTTCTAATGCTTGTAGGTTTGTTCCCAGGCTCCTTGAGTCTCTTTTCCTATAGTTGTTTCCTTCCCCATCTCAAAGCAGAGAGGTTCTGGCCCTAGATTCCAGTGTTATCGCCTCAGTTCCTTCTGTCTCCTGTTTGCTGGAAATGAAGCTAACGTGTCTCAGTGCTCGCTCGCTCTTGCTCCTTTTCTGAGTCCCAAAGGCAGCATACCTCATCTGCAAAACAGCAAAAGCTAGACATCTATAAAGTTTCATGTTTTTAGACACAAGCAAATGCACATAACTTGTGTAAACTTAAGAGGAGCAAGTTGATTGATACTAAGCTCTTACCATGGCTAGGAAGAAGATGGATGTTTAAGACTTATTTTTGTTTCTCCAGAATTGCACAGGATGCTCTATTCTTTTTGTCCTAGGAGAAGACAAATGGCACTCCACTGTTGTTTTGCTTTTCTTACCCCTGTTCAAGATGTGTGGAGACTTCATCCTGACATCCTGAGCTCTCTGGTTTCCTTTTTTTTTTTTTTTAATTTATTTCTGTGTTTTCAAGCTTCCTCCTCACACTGTCTGGAGCCTTATCTGAGCACAAATGTCTGCCTTGGGGCTGCTTTTTTTTCCTCGTTTTGTTTTCTTATGGAAATGACACAGAATCCATCCACTGCTGCCTTTTGCTGGCTTGTGGATTGCAGTCAGATGCTTGCCCAAAGGCAGAAGGATCAGCAGGCAGAACCAAACTGCTTTAGCGAATCTGGATCTCACCCTCCGTGGAAAAGGAAGCCTGCATGTCATGTCACATGAGGCTACATGAGGCTTCCACTCCTCTGTCACAGCCAAAGGGGGAAAGTTTCTTTCATCACAGTCCTACACATAAACTGAACAGCTGCAAAATATTGTGCAGCATTGTTCTCTGCTCCTGCAGCTGCAGGAATATTATTCACATCTTTATCAGTCCATCACTTCAAGTAGATGATCTTCAACTCAGAAATCTGTTCCCTGCAGGTCTGTGAAGGACCTGGATGTTTTTAGTACATGGATATGGTAGACCATAACTATTACAGTTCCCTGCAACCCTTCCTCATAGGGGCGTTTATGTTCTTTCTAGGTGACAGCTTCCTCTTTCATGTAAAGGCTGTTGAGTGTTTTGTTATCACTTACTAACAATGTCCCATCCTTTCCCATAAACATTTCATCTGTCTTCAGTTTGAAGCTGAATTTTCTTAGAGAAGAAAAAAAAACAAACCTAAAACGCAACACCCTGTCATGGCAGACTTGTTATAAAAGGAGTTCATTGTAGTTTGTAGGAGACATAAGTAATTTTAAAGGACTTGAAATATGTCTGTCCAAGCAATCATAAGAGATGTTACACATGGCATGGAGTCATTTCTGTCTTTCTGAGAGGGGCATGTAGATTTTTTCCACTTGTTACATTTGGATTCCTCAGCCCTTAAGTGAGACCTTTGATAAGCCCAGCTGACTGAGGGTCTCAAGTTTGTAGCTGTAGAGGCAGCAAGTGTAAGCACAGCCATTTGAAAATCAGTCCCACATTCCAGGTGGCATTCAGTACAGCAAAGGCTTTTGAAGCTGCATTTATTAACTAAGCATTGCATCAACTACACTCTAATTTTTAAAAGATTTGGTGTTCAGGTGACCACTCTAAACCCTCTATGAATGTTGCCCTGTTATCACTGGAAGTAAAGTCAGCTCTCCCATGTGCCTCCCAAGCCACTGTTTCTGAATAAGATGGTAAACAGAGTCCACCTGCAGCTTTGTCTTCTGAAACATGGCTCCTTGATCTTTTGAATAAGGCTGACAGTAATTCAGAAAGAATTCAACCCAGTCAAGCCTTAATTGTGTAGATTGTTTTATTTTGTAGATCCCTATTTTCCTGTTCCCGGGAGGACTGTTGTCTTATCAGACTGCAGTAATACAGGCTAGGTCAACATTTGTTTGTAAAACAAAAAGGGCCTGTCTTTGTTTGTGAGGGGGCTGCGATAACAGAAGGGATTTCAAACCCCGTGTGCAGATGTGGTTTTTCAGGTCCTAGCACCAGGACCCTGCTCTTCTTCCCTCTCCTTGGGGCAAGATGTCTGGAAGCTGGTGATGAGCTGGATCATGTCCAGCTGCAGAGAGAAGCCCTGGCAGCAGGAGGGTGAGTTGGTAAAAGTGATACCACTGAGAGGGGAACAGGCTGTGGCACATGGCAAGTGATGCTGAGAGCAGCCTGTGCTCCTGTGACTTCACTCTCCGGGTGACCAGCAGGGAAGGTGCTGGGAAGCTGGTGGCCGTTGCTTTGAGAGAGAAGTGAAAGAGCAACTTCCTTTCCTCTTGGTTTGCAGCCACCAAAAGGTGGTTGGCAACTTCCTTTGGAGTGAGAGGCTGACAGATCCACAGGCGGGAGCGTGGGGGCATGTACGGTGCCTAGAACAGCGCCTGAATGTCAGAGGCGATCTGGAAAAGTTGCTGAGACTCTTGCAGCACTGTTCTGTATTTCTTATTTACAACCTGGAAGGTGTGCAAGGGCTCAGCAGGGGTAAAGGGAGGGAGAGGGGCCCTTTCAGGCCTTCCAGGCAAGTAGTCAAAATTGGCTCTTTCCTGATGTTCCCCAGGAGATGCACCCAGAGATATCATCTCATGCTATGGGGCAGGTAGGTGCACAAGGTGACTTGTGAGCAGTTATTGCAAATATAGCTGCTTTTGTGTTGGGTTTTTGATGTTTGTTTGGCCATTTTGGTTGTGGGATTTTGGTTTTTTTCTCTCTGTGGGCAGGACCTCGTATCTGGAAACAAGGACGGTCATGTTTTCTCAGGACAGTTCTCTCTGTGTACCTCACTGACATGGACAAGATCTACTCAGTCTTCTGCAATTTAAAAAATAAATGAAATTAAAAAACAAAGGGGGGGGGGGGGGGGGGGGTGACACGGGACACAACAGCGCCACACCAAAACTAACAACATACTTTCTCTCTGCAGCCAGAATGACCTCTTTTCCCCGGACCTGGAGATGAAATCCTGCTTCAGACCGCGGCCCCAGCGCAGCCAGCGCAGGCCGTCCCCTCGGGTTGCCCCCGGGCACGCACCGCTCCCTCCGGCCCAGCGGAATCCCCCGACCCGGCGGAGAAGCCCAAGGCGCTGGTAACGCAGCAACGCGGAGGTAATCAGTGCCTTAAGGAAAGCAGGAGGTCAGCCTGCAAGTTAGATGGATTGAGTCATGTAGAGTTAAACTAACCCCTCCCACAGCCATGGACCACTAAAGCGCCCATTTTCATGAGCACCTCTCACCAAGGCGGCTCAGAGCCGGCAGAGCCTGAGAGAGGGGGAGGAGGGAGCGAGCACCGGCACTGATGGACGAGCCAAAGGGTAAGGAGAGGAGCGAGCCGCTGACCTTCGGCAGCAGCCCCGAACCCCGCCGCGGGGGGAGGCAGGGCTCGGCGGGGCACCCCCGGGGCGGCGGCATCCCGCGGCCGGCGCTCGGCGGAGGCTCTGCATATTCATGAGGAGCTCCTTGAGATGTGCCACTCAGGAGGGAGCTGCGGCTGCGGCATCCCCGGGCGGCGCGTCCCTCCCTCCGCGCCCGCGGAGCTCTGCCTGCGGTGGGCGAAGGTTCCGCGGGGGAGCTCGCCCGGGTGGGTGCAGCCTTGCCGCAGTCCTCCCCCGGCCAGCATCAGCATCATCATCATCATCAAGCCTTTGCACTCCCAGCCGTGTCTGAAGCGACAATGTTAACTTGCGATGGAGGGGTGGGGGGTGGCCGTTGGGTCCCCGGGCGTGCAGCGGGGCGGGCGGGAGCGAAGGCTCCGCGCCGGCGTCTGGCAGAAGTTTGGCCGCGTCAGTGCGAGGGATTCCCTCCCCGCCGCGCTGGGGAAGAGCCGGCGGTGCCCGCCCGGAGCCGGGGCCGAGCTCCCGCGGCGCCGAGAACCGCACTCAGCGCATGGTAGGGTCAAAAACTCAGTGGAAGTACCGGCTGTAAGGAAACCGCGGTGGAAAGCCATAGCCCCGAGGTTGGAGGAATTGCTGTGCTGCCTACGAGGGGCTCTCTGTGCGTGGGCTCCGGGCCAGAGCAGGCTCGGGAGAGGGGCATTCCCCTGCGAGCCCCCTCGCCTTAACTGCGACCCTGGGGATCGGGGAGGGAATCGGCATTACCTGGAGATGTGTGTTGCACGGTAATCTTTCTACGAGATACACGTCTTGTACTAGGGTTTGCCTTTTATAATTAGGTGGCACGGTGCACGTAGCAGCACTAGTCGTGCTTAACGTTTGGCAGAAGCATTTCCTAGTTTAGCATCAGCTTTTGTCTATCTGTGCCTTACCCTCTGTTTATGGCAACTTCTGCAGCATGGTCCATCCTTCTATACTGCTGACAGTACTGAGCTCTGTGTAGGGCTTTTAAATACAAAGCAGGAACTCAGACAAATAGGCAAGAAGCAGTAAACTGGCGAAAGATCTGGGCAGAAACTTTGCCTTTAAATTGAGTGAGAAGCTTAGGGGGTAATAGTTTACACTATTTTGATAGTTTCTTGTTCAGTACCAGGTGGAAGTCTCTCTCATTTATCATTGTTATGACAACAGGGAATCAAAATGTGGTATTTTTTTGGAATAGATAAAATTGTAAACTAGACCTTTCCAAGTTTTTAATTTTGTAGAATGTAATGTATGGCATTTGAGGGAAAGAAGCATTTTCTCAGTCTGACGTACATCAAATTTAAAGCAAAGACTGGCAGAAGGAGAAGGTTAGCTCATTAGTTTATGCAGTCATGAGTGAAGCTGGAAATATTTAGAAATAATCTGCCTCTGCTGAGAAGGGAGATAAGAATAGCTTTGAAAACAGTCTTTAAAAAGTTTCATTCTAAAAATGAAATATAATGCATGAACAAAGATGTCTTTTCTAGTGAGGTAAGGAATCACAGAGAAGAAACTTAGACAATGAGAACTGATTTAGCAGAGGAGCAAATGAGCCTTCTTTTAGAAAGTGGGATTTTAAAGAAACAGAATGAAAATGAAGAAAGTCGACAGCGCTTGAGCTGATTGCAGAAGGCGGTGATGGTGTAAGAATGGGCTGACCTGCAAAACATGCAAGTCATCTTGCAAGAGCCTAATGAAAATTAGCGCAATAAATAGCAAGAAACCACATTTTGTGTGTGGGAGAAGAAAACACGAGGCAGTGTTTTTGAAAACACCTCTTGCAGTATGTCTTCAGAGGCAGCGGTCAATAGGCTCAGCTCAGGGGAGTCCAGGACAGGCAGTTATCTATCAGCCAACAGGAAAGTTTCCACCTTGAAATGAGGCATGAATGCACACTGAGGGCATGTCCTTTCATCAGAAAGGAATTACTAGGGAGTGTTTCAGTGAGAGACCTGTTTCCTGGGAGTCTTGTCCACAGGGACATAACAAACAGGCTTGAAATGTTATTCTTCATTTTTAGGAAGCCTGTATTTTAAATACTGATCCTGTCAGTTCCATCTTGAAATTTGGATCAATATGCTAATGCAGCCAAGGAGGACATTCTGTTTGGGGTGAGCAGCAGAATTATACAGAGCAACAGACTGTGTTAGTTATCAGTATGAATACCTTCATGGGCAGAAAGTGTGACAGTCTGAAAAAGAATACATTACTGAAAAACATAGGAGGGCTTCAGTCTGGGGAAAGAATGATACTGATCTCGTGCAGACAGCAGTAAAAAGCAGAAAGCCTTCTAATATTTATCATTTTTTACATAAAAGGTACTGGCAAGAGGTAGTAACTCTGGTTTGGAGCTTCTACATACATGATGAATCAATCTCCACTGTTGTCTGACTCCTCTCTATGGACCAGTGATTGTTCTGGCATGGAATGGTAATAAACCAAAATGTGATAGAATGAAAAATGAGGATAACTTCGGCTAGTTCATTCAGGCAGTGAAGGCAGCAAATAGAAGTTAACCCAAGTAAATGGAATGGGACAAAGAGGAAATGGAGAACATCTGATAGAAAACATAGAGTGTGAATTGAGGAAGATTATTCTGAGAAAGTGAAGATGTAAGGGGAAAATCCAAAGTTTGCAGGACCAAGCACAATTCAACGGAGGCATTGTGTGTGCTTTAGAAACAAAATAATGTATCTAGCAGTTGTATAAGGGTAAGATTTTCATGATGATGCAGGAGAAAAAAAAAGCCCACATAATTGCTGGTTGAATATTCTTCCAAATTTGGGGGGATAAAATGAATTCCAATATGGAGAAATATTTCATTTAATTATTATAACTAAGTAGCCTGGTCTGAGTATTAACACTGGGGCAGTGGGTAGAGTTGGTGATAAAATTTTATAACAGCTTGAAATTAAATGTGCTAAATACTTACTGAAAAGATTTATGCTTTATGATGTTAATTTTCAACAAACTAGAGTAGAACACTAGGGACATCCCAGGCAATGGGAAGGATGCTTTTGTTTACCCAATATCCCAGCAGTATGGCACTGGATAGCCTATTGCCAATTTAGTTTTATATCAGTTCTCTCTAAATTACCTGGTAGATCTCCCCAATAATTAAGTGTAATGGCTAGTATGATCATGTTCTTTAATTTTGTAGAGGATAAGACTTGTCAAAGTAGCTTTCAGAATAGTGTTGTAGATAGAAGTGGGTAACACTGTCAAAATGGATAATGGGCATAAACGCATCAAAAAGAAAAGTATCAATTCCAGATGGAAGTAATCTGTGCAATTATATGGGTCCCCTCAAGTGAGTATATTAATCTGCATCCTATATTAATCTGCATCCTAGAATGGAGATAGCACTGCCTATAAGAATCTGCAGCAAGAACTTGAAGGGATGTGTTCCTTTCTTGGCTAAAGAATGCATCTGTAAGGAGGAGGGGTAGTATTTCAATACTGATAGACCTTTTAATTTGTCTTTGCTTTCTTGAAGACTTCTTTTTTGTTTACAAACAAAAAAACCTAACAAAATAGACGTTAAATAAGCCTGGTGTGATCCTCATTTGGAAAAAACAGGCTGTATTTTGTCTTACACGTTATCACTACTAAAGTCCTCTTCTTGATTTATGTCTTCAAATGAGGCTGGAGGCTTATCAAAGTTTTAGGGGGGAGGGGAAGTATTCTTTAAAACCAAGTGAATATTGAATAAATATAGGTTGTAAGTTAAGGGACTTCTAAGGACCAAAATCCTTGATTCTTAGGAACCACCTCATGAAAGGGGAGCTGGAAGAACTAATCTCAATGGGTGGTATTTGATAGCCACAGGGCAGGTTATGAGTGCAGGGCTGGGAAGGCAAGTCGTCCTTTATCTGGTCTATTTTCCAGCTAATTATTTGCACTTATTTTATTTTTCAGAAATAGCCAATGTGGTTGAAAACAGTAAATATTAATATCTCCCATGTTTAAACTTCTCCACAGCAATAGATGTATTTCTGATATTGTTCTGATTACAGTCTCCCTATGACTCTCCAGCAAAGAATGAGCTAATGGATTGAGACCTGAATAACAACAGACCCCAAAAATAGTTATCAAAGGAAATCATTATTAAACAGCTGTGTTTTCAGAGGTATTCTGTAAGAGGCCTGATGGCATTAGACATTCTCAATAATGATCTAAAAAGTATAAAATCATTGCTGATTTACAGATGGAGTTTGTCAGTACTAGGAGGACCAGTACAAATACCAATTAAGTCAGAGGAAAAAGTCTAAAGAAGCCAAGAGTGGTTGGAAACATAAAGAGCAAATAATAGGCTTCAAGCCAAACTTGTAAAAGCACAGCTAATGCAACTCCAGGAGGAAAATTGGACATTCAAATACTGAATAGACTAGAAAGATTTCTGGACAATGTTGTCCGGAAAAAAATCTGGAGAGGTGTGCATATGTATGCACACATCTGTATATATATCTGTATCTGTGACATCCATAACTTACAGTTTATTTGCTTTCTTATATTGGATGCAAAGCTGCATTACCATGGAGGGAGAAGATTGTTCTCTAGTCAACCTTACTGTGACCACTGCAACCTGTGTTTGCCTCTAGACTTGTAATTAACCAGAAGTACATAGAAAACCCTCTCGGAATGCCTCAAGGGAAAAGAATAAATGTAAGAGGTGGGACACCTCAAAAGGGAAGGGTTACAAAAGCTGTAATAATTGATAAACTTTTTGGCCTTTTCTAAGTTGTATAACAG